CCAGTCCTGATGTACAGAGGCTGACACCAGGCCAGATTAATATACTTATGCTAGGACTCAAATTCAGCACCACTTGTCTCAACAAAAGTCATTTTAAAAATAGACTAAAGCAGGTCATACATTATATATTTGCGTTAAAAAATCAGGTTGAATTAAAAAAATGTGCCGACTCCCACATCGACATATTCGAGGTGAATGGGGGAATCCTCCCAGCTGAGCTATTGAATTCTGGCAGGGTGGGGGTGGAGGTCTTCTCAGATGTTAGAACACAATGATCAGTGTTGTTGGCTATAACCAGCGGCACTGATAATTCAGAAAAAACATACATACATGGATCGAAATTTGGCCAGTCCCTGCTGAACCAGCCAAATTTCATATTCATGTGTTTTTTCCTCCACCCATCCTCTGCAGAACTCTGTGAATGAAGGGTGCGTCTGTGTAGGTGGAGCCGTGCCCAGCCGCTCTGTTTTTTTAAAATTTGTCAGTGGGTGTGGGGAGAGGATCCCCACCCCCCTGTCATCAAGGAGTGAAGGAGGGAGAGATGGACTGCTCCAAAGTAACATCTTACATACAGTCATGGCCGAAATTGTTGGCACCCTTGATATTTTTCCTGAAAATTCAAGTATTTCACACAAAAAAGGTATTGCATTAACACATGTTTTGCTATACACATGTTTATTCCCTTTGTATGTATTGGAACAAATATAAAACAGAGGCAGAAAAGCAAATATGACATAATGTCACACAAAACCCCAAAAATGGGCTGGACAAAAGTATTGGCACCCTTAACTTAATATTTGGTTGCACACCCTTTGGAAAACATAACTGAAATCAGTCGCTTCCTATAACCATTCAATAAGCTTCTGACACCTCTCACCCGGAATTTTGGACCACTCTTCCTTTGCAAACAGCTCCAGGTCTCTCTTATTGGAAGGACACCTTTTTCCCAACAGCAATTTTAAGATTCTCCACAGGTGTTCAATGGGATTTAGATCTGGGCTCATTGCTGGCCACTTCAGAACTCTCCAGCGCTTCTTTGCCATCCATTTCTGAGTGCTTTTTGACGTATGTTTGGGGTCATTGTCCTGCTGGAAGACCAGGATCTTGGACGCAAACCCAGCTTTCTGACACTGGGGCCCTACAGTGCGACCCAAAATCCTTTGGTAATCCTCAGATTTCATGATGCCTTGCTACAGTCAAGGCACCCAGTGCCAGAGGCAGCAAAACAACCCAAAAACATCATTGAACCTCCACCATATTTTACCGTAGGTACTGTGTTTTGTTCTTTGTAGGCCTCATTCCGTTTTCGGTAAACAGTAGAATGATGTGCTTTACCGAAAAGCTCTATCTTGGTCTCATCTGTCCACAAGACGTTTTCCCAGAAGGCTTTTGGCTTACTCAAGTACATTTTGGCAAACTGTAGTCTTGCTTTTTTATGTCTCTGTGTCAGCAGTGGGGTCCTCCTGGGTCTCCTGCCATAGCGTTTCATTTCATTTAAAATGTCGACGGATAGTTCGCGCTGACACTGATGCTCCTGAGCCTGCAGGACAGCTTGAATGTCTTTGGAACATGTTTGGGGCTGCTTATCCACCATCCGGACTATTCTGCGTTGCAATCTTTCATCAATTTTCCTCATCCGTCCACGACCAGGGAGATTTAGCAGTGCCATGGGTTGCAAACTTCTTGATAATGTTGCGCACTGTGGACAAAGGCAAATCTAGTTCTCTGGAGATGACTTGTAACCTTGAGATTGTTGATATTTTGCCACATTTTGGTTCTCAGGTCCTCAGACAGTTCTCGTCTCCTCTTTCTGTTGTCCATGCTTAGTGTGGCACAGACAGACACACAATGCAAAGGTTAAGTGAACGTCTCTCCTTTTTATCTGCTTTCAGGTGTGATTTCTATATTGCCCACACCTGTTACTTGCCCCAGGTGAGTTTACAGGAGCATCACATGCTTGTAACATTCTTATTTATCCGCAGTTGTGAAAGGGTGCCAATACTTTTGTCCAGCCCATTTTTGGAGGTTTGTGTGACACATTATGTCGAATTTGCTTTCTTTCCTCCCTTTTTTTGTTTTGTCCCAATACACACAAAGGGAATAAACATGTGTATAGCAAAACATGTGTTAATGCAATACGTTTCGTGAGAAATACATGATTTCCTGGAGAAATATCAAGGGTGCCAACAATTTCGGCCACGACTGTATTATACCTAAATATGTGTGTAACATGTAATAAGTTACAATAGGTGAACTTATCTTTTCCAAATCAAATGTTAAAAGCAATCAAAATCTTTCAAGCACCATTCAATTGTTCTGAGAATATTCCTAAAACTTTTCCTTAGAAATTTTCATTTCTATCCATCTATGGCCAGCTTTCCTCTGCTTACATTCAAAATTATTTATTGATTTAATAATTAATATAAAGCAGCATTCATTTGTACCTTTTATATCAGTTTAGAGTTCAGCTTTAAAATCTAAGTGTAGCAAAAAGGTTTTTAAAAAATCAGCAGAAGGGACATTGTTTCTGCTGCTGGCTCTATGTTTAGTTGAAATCATCTTCATCTGATCCCCCGTACCCATGCTGTCATAATCTTACCGGTGTGGCTCAGGGACCTCTCATTTGCACTCATCAGGAGTGCCGACTATGCCTGTCCATTTCCTGCCCAACTCCTCCATTCATAGAAGTCGTACAATAGCTTAAATTAATTAAAAAGCGATCTGTGAATAGAGAAGGTGGACATTTCATGCATTCACCCATTTCCAATATATAATAGAGCTTCTATGAATGGACCCTGGAGAGTGGTGGAAAGGGAGGTCATAGTCGGCAATCTTGATGAGTCCATGTGACAGGTCCTGCCACCACTCTTTTCTGTTTTCAATCGTTTTTATTGCAAATTTTTCTTTCGAAAAAAGAGAGAACAAAGACATATCAACGTGCATAGGTGTTTAAATTGCTTGATTCACAAAGGTATTGTGGTTCATACAAAAAAAAAAGGAAGGCACATACAGATGAAACTCGAAAAATTAGAATATCGTGCAAAGTTCATTTATTTCAGTAATGCAACTTAAAAGTTGAAATTAATATATGAGATAGACTCATTACATGCAAAGCAAGATAGTTCAAGCCGTGATTTGTCATAATTGTGATGATTATGGCTTACAGCTCATGAAACCCCAAATCCACAATCTCAGAAAATTAGAATATTACATGCAATCGTTAAAACAAGGATTGTACATAGACAATATCGGACCCTCTGAAAAGTATAGGCATGCATATGTACCTAGTACTTGGTTTGGACCCTTTTGCAGCAATTACTGCCTCAATGCGGCGTGGCATGGAAGCTATCAGCCTGTGGCACTGCTGAGGTGTTATGGAAGACCAGGATGCTTCAATAGCGGCCTTCAGCTCTTCTGCATTGTTCGGTCTCATGTCTCTCATCTTTCTCTTGGCAATGCCCCAAAGATTCTCTATGGGGTTCAGGTCAGGAGAGTTTTCTGGCCAATCAAGCTCAGTAATCCCACGGTCATTGAACCAGGTTTTGGTGCTTTGGCAGTGTGGGCAGGTGCCAAGTCCTGCTGGAAAATGAAGTCAGCATCCCCATAAAGCTCGTCTGCGGAAGGAAGCATGAAGTGCTCCAAAATCTCCTGGTAGACGGGCTGCGTTGACCCTGGACTTAATGAAGCACAGTGGACCAACACCAGCAGATGACATGGCTCCCCAAATCAACACAGACTGTGGAAACTTCACACTGGACTTCAAGTATCTTGCAGTGTGTGCCCCTCCATTCTTCCTCCATACTCTGGGTCCTTGGTTTCCAAATGAGAAGCAAAAGTTGCACTCATCAGAAAAGAGGACTTTGGACCACTGAGCAACAGACCAGGTCTGTTTTTCTTTAGCCCAGGTTAAGACGCTTCTGATGTTGTTTGTTGTTCAGGAGTGGCTTGACAAGAGGAATACGACATTAGAAGCCCATGTCCAGGATCCGTCTGTGTGTGGTGGCTCTTGATGCACTGACTCTCAGCCTCAGTCCACTCCTTGTGAAAGTCCCCAACACTTTGAATGGCCTTTTCCTGACTATCCTCTCCAGGCTGCGGTCATCCCTGCTGCTTGTGCACCTTTTTCTTAAACACTTTTCCCTTCTACATAACTTTCTATTAATGTGCTTTGATATAGCACTTTGGGAACATCCAACTTCTTTTGCAATTACCTTTTGAGGCTTTCCTTCCTTATGGAGGGTGTCAATGATGGTTTTCCTGCACAAACTGTCAGGTCAGCAGTCTTTCCCATGATTGTGATTCCTACTGAACCCAGACTGAGAGACCATTTAAAGGCTCAGGAACCTTTTGCAGGTCTTATGGCTTAATATAGGTGATTAGCTTGGGGACACTTTGAGCCTAGAATATTGCACCTTTTCACAATATTCTAATTTTCTGAAGATAGTGGATTTGGGGTTTTCATGAGCTGTAAGCCATATTCATCACAATTTATGACAAATCATGCTTGAAACTATCTTGCTTTGCATGTAATGAGTCTATCTCATATATTAGTTTCACCTTTTAAGTTGCATTACTGAAATAAATAGAACTTTTGCACGATATATCTAATTTTTTCGAATTTCACCTGTATGTGCACATATGTATAACCAAGTGCAATCCTTACCTCCTCCAGGGGGCAGACCCAGAGGAAGCCAAAGAAATGCAACATTAAGGCAATGTCATGGTTAGCAATTAGTGATGGGCCGAATCACCAGCCTGTTCGAAACAATTCACTAAGTGGTATTTTACCGCATCTGAGTATGCCGTAAGATACCACACAGCTACTAAAAACATTCTTTAAAGTGTTACTAAACTAATTTTTTTTTATGAGCACAAGGGATGCAACTTATTACCGTATTTTTTGCACCCATAAAAAGCACCTGACCATAAGACGCACCTAGGTTTTAGAGGAGGAAAACAAGAGAAAAAATATTCTGAACCAAAGGATGCAGACATAGTACAGGAAATGACCAGAGACGGCAGACATAGTAACAGTGATGACCAGAGACTGCGGACATAGTACAGGAGATGACCAGAGACTGCGGGACATAGTACAAGAGATGACCAGAGACTGCGGATGTACTACAGGAGATGACCAGAGACTGCGGACACAGTACAGGAGATGACCCGAGACTGCAGACACAGTACAGGAGATGACCAGAGACTGTGGACACAGTACAGGAGATGACCAGAGACTGCGGACATAGTACAGGAGATGACCAGAGACTGCGGACATAGTACAGGAGATGACACAGAGACTGTCGGACATAGTACAGGGATGAACAGAGACCTGCGAGACATAGTACAGGAGATGACCAGAGACTGCGGACATAGTACAGAAGATGACCAGAGGACTGCGGACATAGTACAGGAGATTGACCAGAGACTGCGGACATACTAATCAGGAGATGACCAGAGACTGCGGACATACTAACAGGAGCACTGTTTTTGTACTAAAATCTGAATGCTGGACACGAAGTTTTGGAGGCTTTTAGCTACTGACTCTGCAGACAGTTGGCAACATCTGCTCACTGTGGTGCTTCAGCATGTGCTGACTACCGCTCTGTCATTTATACAGTGGTCCTACACCCACTTCCGTGTGGCTTGAGTTGCCTGTTGTTCCTCAGTTGCTTCCACTTTGTTATAATACCACTAACAATTGACCGTGGAATATTCAGTAGGAAGGAAATTTCACAGCCGGATCTAATTGCACAGGTGGCAACTAGAGATGAGCGAATTATTCAAAAAAATTCAATTCGGCTGATTCGGCGAATTCGCAGAATAAATTCGATTCGAGTCGAATATATTCGCTGCGAATTTAACTTATAAAAAGGGTGTTTCTAGGCTTCAGAAGAGCCTTTATAATTAGTGCAGAACACTGTACTTTAATTTAAATGCCCTTGGAGTCTGCTGGGGAAGAGAAATAATACTGTCAAGTCAGTATGACATGCAGATGAGATTGAGGACGTCGATCTTAGTATCACCTGCATACTTTCAATCATTTGGGCAGGTCAACGGGGCCAACACCAGAGTGTCGAGCCACATGTGTGGCGGTGGAGGCAAAGCCAGCAATGGGAGGCCATAACAGAACCCTATGAAAAAATGGAACCACCACATGTGGGGGAACCTGAAAGGGCACTGGGAGATGTGGCGATGGGGACGCAGAATGGAGGGCCCTACAGGGACCCAAAGACACACTCGACCCGGAGCAGCAAGGGGGGCGGTACAGGGGCCAAAGAAGATTAGGGGGTGGCAGCACATGAGGAGTCGTACGGGGGGCCCCTGGCAGATTACGGGCCGGCAGCACAATGGGGGGCCGTACAGGGACCCATGACACACTCTGGACCCGGGACGCTAGGAGGCGGTACAGGGGCCCCCTGACAGATTACGGGCCTGGCACAGCATGGGAGGCGGTAAGGGGCCCCTGGCGTTACGGGCCTGGGACAGCAATGGGAGGCCCGTAATCTGCCCGCACCCAGACAAATGGAACCCCCCAGTGTGAGGAGACCTGAAAGTGGCACATGGCAGAGTGTGGGATGGGACAGCCAATGGGGGCCGCAGGGACCCCTACACACTCTGGACCTGGCCGCCATGAGGAGGGGGTA